CCAGTTCTGGTGCGCCAATGTTCGGAGTATTTTCGCGGAAGGTTGCCCGCGCGACCGGCAAATCAGCCGCCCGTTTTCGTGTGGCGAACGCGCGGCTAATTATGGTGGTGAGCGGCACAGAGCTGTTGTCGGGACAGGTGCCCACCTGGTGCCGGGGACGGTCATCTCCGGAGGGGCAGGTGCTCAACGGTTCCCGGGGTGGGCCATCTCCCGGCTGACGTAGTGGACAGCCGCCGGATTCACTGCTTAGCAACCGTCTCAGCAGCACCGGGTGCTCTTACTCAATCACAAAACGGAGCCATGCGTAGGCCCATGTGCGTAAACGAATTTGAAACTGGCAGATATACGGACCTTATCCACTAGCTTGATTTACTTGTAGTTCTACCCCGTGAAACTGACCGCCTTTTTGTCTCCACTCCGGCAGGCTACCGTCCGGTGCCGCCGTCTGGCGCGCTGCGCCGCTCGCTGTCGGTCTCGTGCGAGCTGGGCAGGCTGGTGGTGGCTGTGCCGGCCGCAGAGGCCGACCTCTGGCACGTGGATGCGCTGCGGCTCACCGATCCCACGTGCCACTCGTTCAGGAACGCCACGTTTCTGGTCATCAGCCAGCCGCTGGACGCCTGCCTCACCCGGCGGAGGATCGTGGACGGAAACGCCGTATACGAAAATACGGTAAGGAACGGGACAGGGACGGGTTGCAAACGAAACGGGGCATGACGGTACGGGATGGGAAAGGAGTTGGAACGAGGCATGAATGGGACGGAATGAAACGAGTCGGCACAGGAAAAGACATAACGGGACGGGACAGGGGATGGCAAATCAACCGAAATTGGGCGAGAAGGCGATGGGATATTGTATGGCGTTGCTCGTAATAGGACAGATGTTGAATGAACAGGGAATGGCCAGAAGGATACTGTAAAACAAAACAACTAGCCACAGAACGGCAAAGCTGTGTACGGCTGTATATGAAGTCATATGAAGTTTATGAACTCGGTGTCACCTTCCTACCTGGAACATGACGTCAGCTATTTCCGGTTACTATCGCTTTGAAGGACAGCTTTAGGGCTCGTAGGCGGTTCTTGACGCTTAAGCAGAGCTGAACGTGAGGCCAGGATGTGCTGTTTTCTACTACGTCCTCTGTGCCGTATGCCCGGGGCTGATCCGCTGCTGATGCGCGCAGAACACGAAGTCGGCTCTGCATGCTGATGAACAGATCTATCTGCGACTGATGACGTCAGCGGGTGCTGGCAGGTGTGAGCCGGCGCGGCCACACACGGCCTCCAAACTGGTCAGCGCTGGTCCCACCGCCGCGGCACCACAGGCCGGCCAGCGCTCCCCGTATGGAGAACGTGCAGCGAGGCCCTACCACGAATCACTGGCGTGACGCCGCTAATCCGATTGGAACAGCGCCGATACAGATGCGGAAAAACGAACGCGCGCGGCAGATGGGAGGTGTTGTAGGCGACTGTTTTGGCGCTGTTAAGGTGGAGCACTCAACAAGAAATCCCACCTCGGCACATGGGAATGAAGCGAGATGAAGTGAAGCGTGATTGCATGAAAACTCATGCAGCGTAAAAATAATTCGAAGCTTCACGAATCAGAACCGGTTTGAATGTGAACAGATCAAAAGCGAAGCCGCCTCGGCTCCGGCCGTGGATGATCGCGAACACGGAAGTGAAGCGAGGAGCAAAGAAAGAGAACGTAACGGACAGCGAGCGTGAAGGAATGAGGAATGGAGCGGGCGGCGCGGAGCGGCCGGAGAGAAACGAGGCCCAGGCACGACCGAGAGTGAAACGACGGCTGCAGGCAACACATAACCGGCACGGGGAAGTGTACGGCGGGAAATCCCGATTGACCGGAGCTACGTAACGTCAAGCTTGGGGCGCGGTTGTAGCCTCAAGGTTGTACAAGGTTGCACGGTTTCGGGGCAGAAAAACAGCCTCGACGCGACGAGCCTATGTTGCCTATAGTAATCATCATATAATCATTATTGATCGATACATGATAGGCAGCTCGAAGCATTGGTAGGTACGGAGCTATTTAGCGATGGTGATTTGGGAAGATGGGTGACTTTGTGTCTGTTTATATTTATGTTTTATGTCTCGCCTTTTCTATTTTTGCGTTGCATCAATGTTTTGAATCTAAGTAGGTGAATCTAAGTAGGTATGTAAAACTTACTTAACTTGGTTATTCCGCGAACATTTCATTTTAACATTACAGCGCAATGCAATGAAGCTGTCGCCGCCACACCCAATAACCTGCCTCGGTGATGACTGTTTGTTTTTCTACACCAGGTTCACTTTATCTCGTCGGGCGCGCCGATCGACGACGAGGACTTTGACGGCTCCGGCTCGGGTCTGGGCCTGCCGGACATGTGGGACGACCCGGCGGCCGAGTACGACCCGCTGGAGGACGAGCTGACGGACGGCGGTCGGGTGCCGGTCAGCTGCACACACCAGGGCCGCGGCCGGCCGGCCGGCGAGCCGGCGACGCCCACCCCGCGCCGCCGCCAGGTCAGACCGGGGAGACACGCAGCGGGACGGGACGAGAGGATGGGTCTGATATTGTGTATTTTATAGTTGGTTGTTTTTATACCTTTTCGATATAATATGAGTTTATAAGGAAATGAAGCGTCTAATCAATTGACGTCTCGCTCAGGTCCGATTTTTTCCATTTATTTGCTTTACGAATGGGTATGCAAACAGTTTCTCATGTCAAGGCTGCATAAATGTTTAATAAAGTTATCACAACTAAGCAGAAAAAATCATTTTTTACGAGCCCCGAGCGGCCGTCCCTGACCTCTGGTGACCGCCTGGTGACCCCCAGGAGGTCGGCCTGTCGGACGACGGCGTCGACACGGCCGGCTACTCGCTGGAGTTGTTCTCCGACCAGCTCTTCTCGTCGCCCATCAAACCCAACGCCCTCGTCCCAGTCACGCACACCATCTATGTGCGCGCCTCCGTACATATCGGTGAGTTGTGTCAGCGGTTAGTTCATATCGGTGAGTTGTGTCAGCGGCCAGTGCATATCGGTGAGTTGTTTCAGCGGCCAGTGCATATCGGTGAGTTGTGTCAGCGACCAGTGTTTCCATGCATGTTGGTGAGCTTTCTTCTAAGTTAAGTCAGAGACCAAACCTGCTTCTTCGTTGATTTGTGACCACAATCTTCCGTTAACAGGCGGATAACGGCGGATGCTGTTCTATATTGACGGTTTTCGTGTTAATTGATTGATATGTCGTTCTGAAAGCTGATTCTAATATTAAATTACTTTCTTGGCCTTTCCATTAAATCAAGTATCAATAATTTAATTTGCTTGTTCACTGATAATCGGTGAAAAATAACGATTCGTAAAAAACTGATAGTCGGTTAACAGATTCCTAGGGAATATTTCACAAACAATTTGCTCTGTAACCACATACACCCACAATTCTATCAGTTACGGGCGGAAACGGACGCGTTCTCACGTTCTCTCTCCGCTGGACTAGCACTCGGCGGTATCCGTTGCCCCAGCCCGGCTCGGTGCCGTGTCATTCCCTGACCGCAGTGGGGTGGGGTTTTCAGCTCGTACAGTTGCCGTTACTGCCCCGGTCCAAGAACCGGGTGGGGTGGCCGCACAGGAAGTGGCTCCGCAGCACGGCAGGCGCGGCCCGGTCACGGAGCGGCCACTCTGGGGTCGGTGACGGAGGAGGGGGGAGGGGAGCCCCTGAGGGAGCTGCTCCCGGTTCGGTCACGGAGGAAGCCGCTCTGGATCGTCCAGGGAGGGAACCTTACCTCACTCACGGAGGGAGCCGCTCTGGGGTCGTTCACGGAGGGAACCTTATCTCACTCACGGAGGGGCTGCTCTGGGGTCAGTGACGGAGGAGGGGGGAGGGGAGCCCCTGAGGGAGCTGCTCCCGGTTCGGTCACGGAGGAAGCCGCTCTGGATCGTCCAGGGAGGGAACCTTACCTCACTCACGGAGGGAGCCGCTCTGGGGTCGTTCACGGAGGGAACCTTATCTCACTCACGGAGGGGCTGCTCTGGGGTCAGTGACGGAGGAGGGGAGAGACTTCTGGGGGAGCTGCTCTAGATCCGGTCACGGAGGGGAGTCGCCCGGGTGTTTTTTTTTTTTTTTTGCACGTTTATTTAGAAGGCAAACAACTGAGGACGAGCGCATCTCATGACACTCGGGGTCGCCCGGGGTCGGTGATGGAGAGGAGCTTCTGAGGGAGCTGCCCGTGGTCCGGTCACGGAGGGAGCCGCTCTGGGCTCAGTGACGGAGGAAAGGAGGGGGAGGGGAGCTTCTGAGGGAGCTGCCCGTGGTCCGGTCACGGAGGGAGCCGTTCTGACGTCGCTGACTGAGGGGACGGTACCACATGAATCACGAAGGGGGAGATGCTATGACGGGTCACGGAGGTAGTCGCTCTGAGACCGGTTGCTGCGGGGACGGTCAGGGGAACTGTTCTGGGGCCGGTCACGGATGGGGCTTCTCCGGGTCACACACACTGGTTCACTGAGCTTCTTGGGATGCAGGGTCTAGTATCGCTCTTTTATCTGGTTAGATATTCGGAACTCTTTATTACGTGGGGGCCGGAACGTAGTTGTGGAAAATGTCAACCAATTATATTCCATTATGAATCTGCACAAATCAGCATATAAGTCCCTTGAATTATCACTGGCTTGCTCCTGAGCAAAAGCAAATCAGAGCGAATGCCTAGGTAGCAACCAACGAATGTCGTGGGGTCAAGTCGACTCAGAAGTCGGCCGACCCCGGTGCAGCCCGGGTCGACCGCGGACTCCGCCCCGGCCGTCACGCGACGCGTCACGGCCGGAGCCGGACGTCACGCCGCCGTGCGGGCCACGGTGTGACATCCCGTCACGGCGGTACTCACGGCATCCGTCACGACCGGGCGTGGTATCGTCAGTGTGACCCGCCCGCCGTGACACGAGTCATTGCCTGGCAACGTGAAATGTCCGGCTGAGAAATACCGGTGATATATGCGATATGTGTGTGCTTACGGGCCCAGTCATATATAATGCTCGGTAATAATGGTTACTGCGACTGATGGACGAATGTAGTGAAACACGATGCACCCGTGTACGACAGGTGCATTTATCATGCCAGCCAGCGGCCCCGATGTGCGAAGTTTCGGACATTACCGTTGCTAGTTTGCAGTGAGGGCACTCATGAGTACCTACTCGGTCCCCTCACGCTGTGTCGTTTCGTTCTGGACCCGCAGTCTCTGCGCCGGACCTGCGGCCCGTGGTGGAGCAGTGCTGGATCAGTAAGGACAGCGACGCGGACGCGCCGTACAAGTTTCTGGTGGTGCGCGCCGCGTGTCCGGTGGACGGCAGCGTCACCTTCCTGAGGTCGGAGAGCGCCAAGGGAGACATCTTCACCTTCCAGGTCAGCAGCCAGCCCAATTTTTGCAGACAAGGAGCCTATAATCGTACGGAAACTGGAGACACCCCGTAAGATATACTATAACGTGAACAGTTGTTTTCGCATTCGCTATTCGCATAAAACGAAGAAACGCATTGAATAAATTACGTATTGACAATCGCGATCAACTGTCGGTAGGCCACCTGTTCCGGATGTTGCTGAGACGGTTTGTCGCTTGTGCTCATATCTGACCACGTCTTCTCCGCTGCCCGTTGTTAGTGTCCCGTCAGTACCCGTAACTGACCGTGTCCCCTCCACTGCCTCCCCCCAGGTGTCCCGTAGATAACCGTGTACCGACCTCTACCTCTACCTCTTCCCACAGGTATCCCGCCAGTACCTGGACCTGGGGCCGTACTTCCTGCACTGTCGGGTGGGACTGTGCGCCCGGCCATCATCAAACACCAGCCCGCGTGTCGCTCAGGTAAGGGAACTCACGGACGATGTGCCAGGAGTGTCGTACCGCCATCTAACGTCTGCTATACTCGATGTGCCGCCACCTACCAGCTGTACGGTAGACCTTTACTTTCAGTTATCACCACCCTCAGGGGGCTAAGAAAGTCATGGACAGTAGAGTTTAGGTATAGCATTGTCATGTGATATCCAATAGAAGACGGTCGTTGGATTTTAAACATTTCATCATGAGCATCATGAACCATCATGAACTTCTAAGTCACCTGCCACCTGCCGACTGTTCCGTTCGTACAGTGTCTGGACCGGCTGCGTTACTGCTCAGATGAGAGTGGTGGGGACGCCGGTCGGCTGGTGGCCTCTGGCGTCCAGGTGGTCACCCGGGGACCTCTGCTACCCACCGTCACTGGTCAGTCGAGGCACGAGCGGTGGCGATTCCTCTGCCGACGTGCGCTGTCAGCAGCGCTCTTGGCCAAACCACGGCAGCGGGCGCCGTGGTTTGGTTGAACGTCGCGATTAAATGTATGAAATATTGTCTGTTTTGAAGTGTATTGAAACAACTCAAACTGTTTTCAAACTAGTCCAGACGTGCGTAATATTCACGGTTGCAGCTTTTACGATTTATTTAACTATGTTTAGCTTTAGCTCGCATCAGCGATATCAGATGCGTGAAAGGTAAACGCTGCACAGCACGTTATGGCAGCTCGCATGTCCCTCCCCTCCCGACGTGTAACAGCCGCTCACGTTGTCCCCAGGCCTGCCGTCGGTGCCCAGCTGGCGGCCGAGCGCCGCCGCTCCTGACCAGGGGTCCCGCCAGGGCTCCGACCCGCCGTCCGACCAGGGCCCACTCCTGAGGCCGGGCGTGGAGCCGGAGACCGTGGCCGGGATCGGGGTGGCCGCCTTCGTGCTCGGCGTGACGCTGATGGGTGGAGTGTGGCTCATCCACTCCCGAATAGGTGGGCGAGGTCAGGGGTCAACGAGCGGTGTGGGCTCGTATTTGTATTTTTTATGTCAGCTGGTACTCCACAGCATGGTGGCATTCTGGGACTATTTCAGTCACAGGCTGATTTGTTTTATCAGAACCAGCGTTAGCAGAAAACTGAGAACTTGTGCTCCATGGGACTTCTCGAGTCAAAACTTAAACAATCGTGATATGTTTGCTGCTGTATGTCGGTACCTATGATTGCACCGCTTTAGGTTCGTTTCAATTCAAGAATTATGGAAATTCATGTTGTAAGTTGTAACCACAGCACAATTTCATCATCGTGCCTCACGATGCCTGAGGCCGCACATTTCTCACAGTCTCCGTCTGCTCCGTCTGCAGGTCCGTCCAAGCAGCACCGGTTCCAGGCGGTGCCTCAGAGCGCCCCTCAGGAGGTGACCGGTCAGTCGGCCCACTCCACCCCCAGCTCCCAGACTCCCATCATCATCTGACTGGAGGAACTGCCGGAGGGGGCGGCGGTCAGCTGACCGGCACCGGTCGCCGCTGGCCCGGCCGGGGCGCTGTCCGACCCGGCCGGACCGGGAGAGGAGGGCGCGGCGGCCGCGGGCGGACGAGATTCAGTTGTGCAGTACAAATGTGATTACCTCAGCCGTTAAGTTCGTTCCTATATTTGCGTTGGCGGTTCGGCCGGGGCCGTGCATGGCTCGTTTGAGGAGGGGAGGAAGCAGAGAGGATCTGACCGGTTTTAGAGAGCCCTGACAGCTGCTGGAGCTCCGGCCAGGAGCCAGGAGCCGACCGGGGTATCCCGACCCACTGCCGCTGGCCGGGGAGAGAGGAGCGGAGCCGGAGACAGAGCAGAGAGCGCGGAGCGGGCAGAGGGGCGGTGGGTCGGGCGTGCGCTACTGTTCTGCTCACCACGGCAGAACGTATCTGATTATCACGTACTTATCGTCACGGTGTGCGTGTGGTGTATGTGTGCGGGTGTGTGAGTGTGCTGTCGGCGCGAGCGGCTCATTGTTGACGGTGGCTATAGAGATGTGCTTCCTACCTAGACGGGGGCTCCGGAGACCTGACGATTGTTGTAGCAAAATAGTTGCGTGTTAACCGTATCATATATGTTATTGTTTGACCTGTTATGTATTTCGCGTCACATTGTTAAGCATTGCCCGTGGATATATACGACCCGCGCACTGGGATGTCGCCCGGAATCACACAACTCGAGATTTTAAATTATTTATGACGTCCTCACTCCTCATTTTGCGCTCTTATATCGCGGAACGCCTGCGGCCACCGTGTGGTGTCGATGTTCCTTTTTACGGCGGCCTGGCGTGTGGTGCTGGCCGTTTTACCTCGGATACTGCACTGATTTGACCGCGGGATCGGACGCCCTATCAGCTCAGTGGCGGCTCTGGCAGCGCCTCTGTCCACCAGCGGCGCTGCTGGCGCGCGCGGCCGTCTGACGGCGCTGTTCTGCCCGCAGAGGGCGCTGCACCGGTTGCTGTGTGTGTGTGTTTGTGTGTCACAGCAGCTCTGTTCAGGCGCGGTGCACACGCGCGCTCCGAGCGGTCATCTCAGTGAGTTGTTGCCATCTCTGCGCACCTGGTAGGACGAGACGTCGCCTAGAGGCATTTGTAAGAAATCCCACACTTTGCGGTAGCTATAGAGTGTACATCTCCATACATCCAAAGAGTCAATGTATTTATAAAGAAATAAAATTATCAACAGTTGAGATTATTGCTGTGCGTTTGATTAACTGCAACAAAGCCAATCCAATATAACTTGAATATTCCAATCCTTTGAACCTTCGACGCGTCTCGACGAGATCCACACGTTGCTGGTGAACTGAACGTTGTAAACGTATTCTGGTAGAAATTATTATACAAAAGAACGGTGATTTATACGAAGTCGTGAAATTTGGTGGTTTTGACGTCCAGAGGCCGGGCCGAAGATACTGGGCCTTCAACGCATGTCGAATCCACACTCTTGCCTACAATTTGGCGTAAGACCTCCAACAGAGCTATGCAACGTTCTTTTTCGCGATGTCGCTCTGTGATGAGCGGCAACCTCCCAGTGACAAGTGATGAATCAATTGGAATAAGGTCGTCGAAATCTGGAAAATGATATTTGATGACCTGCAGTGGCCTGACTGTTGATCTGGCGTGCAAATAACTATACCTTTTAAAGGTGATTTTAACCCGCTTTCGAATGCGGCTTACTCACCTGGCGTTTTTTTTTTTTGGGGGGGGGGGGGGGCAGGAGCTGTGGGCCTTCCCCCGTGCCTCTATGTATGCGCTACGGTCGGATATCTCAGCCCGGGTATAAACTGCCGCTAATTCAGCATACACGCGTGTCCTTTTCCAGCATACATCGATCGACCGCTGCAAATTTCGACACAGAACCACGGTGTCCTGACGCCGCGCCGGCAGGCATGCTTTTAGCTAACTCGGTCCGGTAACGATATCCTGCATAAAATGCCGTGGCGTTCTCCCTCCTATGAACACAAAATAATTATCCATGAAACATTCATCAGGCTGCCCTTAAGCCAGTCATTGTCATCAGCGAGCAGCAAATGTCATCCTTTGTTCACGCCGTCCCCGTTTTCACGCCCCCGGGGCGGTCAGTGGGCGCCCCCGCTGTCGGTTCACCAATACCTGCCAGCTGCACTGGCTGCGGCCCGCTGGTCAGTGTAGTACCGCACCTGGCCGCCAGGCGGCAGGTCGGCGCCGGTCCAGTATTGACTGACCGCCGGGCCGGGCCGCGGGGAGGGGAGCCGATAGCCGACTGGTGTCGGGCCAATCGATGTGCCACGCGGCGTCCAGAGAGGTCAGCCGTCCAGCCCGCCGGCCCACCACTCCGATGGACCGGTGACCGACAGTGGATGGTGTGACCTGGGGTGACGTGTGACCTGTGACGCGTGATCGGTGACCTGTGGACTGCGCAGCGGTCAGTGACAGAGACGGAGGGCCGGCCAGGCCAGCAGCTCAACTGAGGGCACCTTGTTTTGTGGTAAGTACTGAGCAGGCTCGTGACAGCTATGATTTTGATTCAGACGGGAAGAAGATCCTGGGACATTGGTAGACCCTGGTAGACCTCGGCAGGGTTATCTAGGACGGTGAGAACCTTTCGGGGAGGAGGGGTCGGTAAGGTCTGTTCAGCACGGTGGGACCTGGCACGAGCACGAGCCAGGCAGGGTCTATAATAATGTCTGCTTAGTTCTGTTTAGAACGGTGGAACCATGGTCGAGTTTGTAATGAGCAATAGGGGCTCAGAAGGGTTTGTAATGAACGTTGGGAGGACTCATATGCGTGTTCAGTGTTGACCCCCCTTATTTACCGTGTTTGTCGTGTAGCATTTTAGCATCTCAAATATAGACTCCTGAAATCAAATAGTGAAGGTCGGATCAGCCTCCCACCCCATATCTGAGGTGTGCGGCCCAATAACAGGTCATCTGCCTCGGCCTCCCCAGTCTGTCCGCCGCTGAGCGCTCGCTGCAGCAGCCATGGACGCCGCCGCCGCCGAGCTGATCAAGCTGACCTCACCCGATTCCATCTACGGCACGCTGGCCAACTTCGAGGTGGAGAAGAAGATCGGCCGCGGACAGTTCTCGGTCGTCTATCGTGCCAAGTAAGACAGCCGCACGGGTCGTCCGCGACATGTGTCTGATTTGAAATTTGGTTTGTTTTAAATTCAACTAGGGAACTTATTGAAATTTCCTTGCAGGTGTTATGAAAATTAGCTAATAATATGTCAAAATGGCTAGATGAAGTATTACTTCAGCAAATTAAACTTTAACGGTCAATGTTTATCGCCTCATTTACAAAATTCTACGAAGCTGTCGCCATTTGTGCACGTTGAAAGAAAGGGAAAATTAACTAGAAAATTAACTGCTTGGCTATTTAACCAAACGCGCCCTGATATGGGAGAAGACATCTAACTTACGAACGGATGGACGCAGAGAGACGGAAAAACGGCAACTATAGAACTCTCAACGAGACGGATCGTTGGAGCCAAATGTTTTGCCTAAGTAGGTCACAAGTCAGGTCAAGGTCAGGTCAAGGGTTAAAACTGCATGTTTCTAGTTTGTACATTACTGGCCTTGGAGCCCAGCTGGCGAATAATGGACAGAGGTTGATCACCTAGAAGGCGTGATTAGGCTACCAAGACTCATATTATGCCTTGCAAAGGTCAAGGTCAGGTCAGGTCACCGAAGATTGACTATTGAGTAGTATGTGTCCGACATATGTTGTAAAGGTCATTTTGCCCATATAATCGACGGGCATACTAAAATAGTAATATAGACCATAGCTGAATAAAGGTCAGGTCGAGGTCAGGTCGAGGTCAGGCCAAGAAAAGTTCAGTTTGAAGCTGGTTTTCAAGGACGAAAATGAGTATTGAGACGTTTTCAACGAAAAATCGAATTGTGCTTTTTCATTCCCGTACGAGAACTACCGGGTGATCATTTGAAAATGAGATAAAGTAGCGCGTTATTACCACGATTTGTTTACACTCATCAGAGCAAAGAGATACATCGTTGCAAAGGTAGTTGTTGGGCATTTGCTGTAATACATGAAAAAAAAAATCGTTTCGCTTTTCTTGCGCTCAGGGCAGGCGCTCGAAATGGCCGCCCTGTTTTGGGCAGCGCTGATATACGGTTTGGCGCTGGGAGCGGAATGCCATTCGCCGCAGCTGCTCCTCACTGATGTCGCGGGCAAATTGACCCCTCGTACTGCTCTTTCGAATGCCGTTTGATGTTTTTCCGACTATTGGTTCCGGAGATGCGACGGGAGGGGGGTTGCCCCCTCCCCCCAACAAGACCTAGAACCTGCCAGACCTCAACGGGGCGCGGGTTAGAAGTTAAAACTATGGTTAAAACCACAACACCTCTCTTTATGAAGCTCTAACAGGTCACGATTTTCCCGACTTTTGAGTCATTGACCTGAGCTGGAAGGTCAACCAAAGACCTAAGACCTTAAAATTGGGCTTCATCGGCTTCCTCTCGTCAACGGCAACACGCTCCTTCTTTTCGTGACGCTCTAGTTTGATCAGGGACCGAACCGGACTTCCCCTATACGTTAGACGTTGTAAAAAGGCCAATATGGACAAGGGTTAACCCTCGCCAGGCCAGGACTTTTTCATAACGCTTATGGCCAAGTGGGTTGGTAAGTATGACCCCCTTGGCGATTGGTTCCTGTGACGCTTGGAAACGTCAAATTTACAGGACAGGTGGACCCATTGGAAATCTCTCCCCTGTATAAACTTGGTGACTCTAAGGGCAATATTTAGGTTTGTGTAGGTAAAGTTTCCTATAACACGTCAAAAGTTTTGGGTTCAGACTTTTGTTCTAGTAAAGAATGTGCAAAGATAACAGTATCAGTGGACGCAGTAGGTACAGGTCTCGCGGGTTTTAGCGGTAGGTTTTGCACCTAGAAAATTTAGTGTACTTCAGGCTATAAGCTTTTAACCCTATTCCTGGCGGGGGGGGGGGGCCTCAGGAGCCCCCCTGAGGTTTTTTGGTTATTTCTCCCAAACGCGTTGAGCTAGGAAGCTCAAATTTTCTGACTTTTCCTAAAAGGCTTCTACGCAACATGTCTGAAAATTTTGAGTTGATCTGACCTCAGGTCAGGTCACCAGAGGCGGTTTGGTGACCCTACCTCAGAAAAGTTTGCAATCACGCCAGAGCTAGAGTTTTTGACCGATCAATTTCTTCTCTTCAGGCTTTAGTTAGGGTACCAGTATGTGCAATTTGTATATCTCGGAATTTTGATATCGGTGACCTAAGGTCAGGTCAGTTTCGCGACCTCCCCATTATAAGTCAATGGGGGAAAAATCAACTCCCTGTTTTTACCACTAAAACGGGTCGGAATGGCCCCATATACCATACATAACTTCATATACGATCAACCTTCACTACCTTGAGGTCTGTTTTGCTGTTGGGCAGCTGTGAGGTCATGTGACGTCATCAAAGGTCACCAAAGGTTTTTGGCCAATAACTCCGTACAGGAACAAGATACAGACGCGTGGATGGTCTCATTGTGTTCAGCTCGTCAAGACGCATCGAATGATATACATGATGACCTCGAGGTCACGTGACCTGAGGTCAACCTTTGACCTTGACCTTGCGAGGTCAACATATATATCATTCGATGCGGATTGACGAGAGGATCATGATGATGCCCTTTGTTTGTTCCTATCTTGACTAATTCGAAAGTTATTCGAGAAAAACTCTCCATATCTAGCGCCGCCATTTTGACTTTTTCGACCCCTGTGACGTCATCTTTGACCTGACCTGAAAATGACCTTTGTAAAAATTGTAGATCTTGACCGTGCGTATCCGATGCCGTTTACCGTTTGTCGCTATCTTGCTTCGTTCTCGAGATCTCAGGGGGGGGGCGAATCGGCCCCCCCGCCAGTTTCTTGTCCCGGCGGAGCCCGCCAGGAATAGGGTTAAGTGTTGAAGATGCGATCGACTTGTTGATTCACAAGCCGGCCATGATCGTGTAAAATGGCTTCATCGTAGATCGATTAGTTTCTGAGATATAACCGGAAATGTAAAAGTGCAAAACCTACCGCTTAATCACGCGAGAGCCGTATACCTACGTCAATGTGCAACGAACTTTTTTTTCAAACGCAAGTGACTTTCGCAGGTTGACTTTCCAGGTCAGGTCAATGACCCGAAGGTCGAAAGTCAGGAAAATCGGGACCTGTTAGAACTTCGTATGGTCAGTTTATTACGATTCTTTCGAGGTACCTACTGATTGCGAAGTTCAGGCTAGTTCTCCTCAAATAATACGAAGATGCGTATTCATGCATTTGGGACAGGTCGTGTTAGGTCAGGTCAGGTCAACTAGTAGGCGTCTTGCCGGCTATCCATACTCCATAGTACGTGTCAACCACCACTAACAGCTTTGCAACATGTTACGACTTACGTAGACACCAAAACTACTTCATGAATGTTCAAATGGATGCTAAACTCGAAATCAGCTCCACAAACAACTCTTGACATAGCTAGGCGGCGGAACCGGGCGGGCACCGGGGCACCGTGCCCCCCTTTGACTTTGACATTTTAACATTAGCCCTATGGGCGTTGCATGGAAAAAAATGGGACCAAAAGTCGGCAGTGCCCCCCTCCCCCATCTTCACCTTAACCCTAGAACGCCTAGGGGGGGGGGGGGGGGTTGTATCAACCCCCCCCCTGAGGTTTTTTCGAAGTGCACGCTAAACGGCTTGTCGTAGCGGGCTGAAATTTTCAATACCCTCTGGGGCAACCTTTGCGCATCTTTTGCCGAAAAAAATTTGATCGGGTCATGTCAGGTCACGGAGTTATGACGTCATAAGAGGTACAGCCTCCGGCCGGATTTTCACAAACTGAGTGCCAACGCCCGAGATTTCCTGCCGGTGGTACGGACATCGGTTGATGGATCGTGATGAAACTTCCCATGCATGTTGGGGCAAGTATTGGCTATCATATGGTATAAGAAATTTGACCGGGTCAGGTCAGGTCACGGAGCTATGACGTCACAAGAGGAACAGCGTCCGGTACTATTTTTGAAAAGCGCCCGAACCACTATTTTGCTAATTCATGTCACCTCAATGGGAATATGCAGCAATATTAGCTTCTATAGGGAGCAAATGGACCTCCCAAATCCAAAAATACAATCATATTTCAAAAATTTAAATTTTGATTTTTCGAATTTCTGCCGCCGACTGTGACCTTGCCGACTTCCGGCGCTCCCAACGCGCCATTTTTAGAGCTAGGGAAACGAAATACATACCAAACGATAGAGAATTGATCAAGGAACACGATAGTGAAGGTTTCAAGTCGATATCTCCCACCGTTTTGCCGCAATCGCCGCCGAAAGTTGAAAAAAGTCTATTTTTCCGAAAATTTGACCTTTGACCGGTCAAAAGTAGGTCAAATGTTGACCTAGGACCAAAAAATATACCACCAATCGCGAGATCTCGTTGAGAGCAATCCGTTGGTTTTTTCCGCTAAGCTCTACGACCTTCCGTTTCGAAACGCCAGGGGGGGTCGTAACAACCCCCCCCCCCCTGGTCGTTCGTGTTATGAGAAATGGCCTGGTCGTGCGAGGGTTAACCCGCGCATGACTGGGGTATTTTCCATAACGCGAGTGACTAGAGGGGGAGGCTCTCCAGAGCCCCCCCCCCCCCCTCCTATCTCCGAAACTACTGGGCTGATCGTCAAAGTTCAAACGGCGTTTGATAGTCCTGGAAAAACTGTCGAGCGAAACCTATTTTCATTGACCTCGAGGTCACCGATGACGTCACAGGTCAGGTCAAAGTAAAAATATCGGCATTTTTGTTTGTTCACAATTTAGGCTCTGACCGCCGGCTGACAAGCCCGATCAGGCTCGTTTTCGGTTTGGTTTACGCGTTCCTTGATATATGCCTTAGATACCCTGAGGGTAACGAACTTTTACTTCGAATTTTTCAGGTCAAGGCCAGGTCATCCTAGGTCACGAAAATTGTATGTCATAAATTGGTTATGTGACGCATGTTTTATGGTCCATTTTACTCGTAGATTTCGAAAAACAATGTCGTATGTGTCATTTTAGGTCATTCTCAACTGAATTTACCGGAGGTCAGGTCACTTTCAGGTCAGAAAAGGTCAAATTTTTAAAATGACATTTTGCAACAAGAAAGGTGCCTATCAAATGCAGTTTGAGCTCAGGAACACGATGGTGCCATTTATGTTACCGTAGGATGTCAGAAACGTAGTGAAAAATGTTTTGAAAATATAGCTATAATTGTAAAATTTTGACAATAATGCAAATAACTTGGCTATTTTTGAAGATATTGGGTCAAAACTTGCTAGAGTAGTTCATCAATGTGTGTTCTATCACATATATTCTGGTTTTAGCAAAAATCAAAGAATTTTTGAAAAAAAAATCAATTTTTTTTGTAATTGTCAAAACATGTTTTTCAAAATTTTCAAAATTCCGAAAATCCGAGATAGCAGTTTGATAGCTACGTGTATTTGTAGTCCACTTATGCAAATAAATTGGATCTAGCTTTAAAACTAAGCTCTTGAGAGCGTTTGCCGTAATTCAATATTTTGCATCGAAATCGGCCGACATGACGTCACTCTGACGTCATTTCCGGCTAGAATATGGTAGCTAGAAAGTCGAAATTTTAACACAAGGCGTCAAATTGATGCCGCTGAGGGTACCGCAAGTTTCGTGTTGATTTGTCAAACGGTTTAGAAGATATTGCCGAAAAACGGGAGGAGGGCTCTGTAAAGACCCCCCAGTCATGCGCGGGTTAATTGAAGGTGTTCCGCCTCCACGGACTCCTAGAGACATGCAAAACTCTTGAACTCAACTGAGTCAGGGTCATTAAATTTTCAAGGGACCTACGTTTCAAGGTGATTTTCAGGACGTAGGTCTAAAATTTATCAACTTGATTGTAAATCTACCCTTAAAGCTTCGTCACAATCGGCCGTTTTTTGCGCGAGTTATTCACGAAAAACGAGGGGGTTCGGTTCGACCCCCCTCAAAGTGCTTGGGTTAAACCGCACACGGTGGTTGGGTGGGTGGATGCGGGGGCAGAAGCTGCCCCCTAGCCCTCCAGCATTTTTTTCGCCAATAGCTTCTACTCTCTTAACCTACTCTCTAACCTTCTACTCTCTGCATCAAAGCTTTTCCTTCTGACGTCTTGATGAGATAATCAATCATGCAAGTATAAAACTAGCCACAACAGCAAACTAGCGTATATTTAGCCCACTGACTCATTGACTGTGAATTTTCGTATGAGCAACATTACCACGTCCACATCAACAATAAGCGAACTGCTGCACACAGTACCTCGCGACTCCGACGCAGGGAGGCCCCTCTGTGACGTCACCGCGTTTCATTGGCGACCCACGCGGCTTTCCAAATGTCAGAAGCAGCTGTCTGGCCGGTAGGCTGGTCATGAAAGCGATCGATTACCACCGGCGCGGGCAACAGCTGACTGAGGGGGACAGTGGGGGCGGAGGGAGGGGGGGGGGGGGGGGTCACTGCGGACCGGCAGGTGTAGTAGCCGCGCCGGGCCACGCATAACAGTGTCACCATTGACTGAGCAGTCCGGCAACTGGCCCACTTGTGAACTGACCCAGTTACGCTATTTCAAAGTGTAACAAAATAGTAGCTCTATTGATCCCCTTCTGTAAGAAAGACTTAGGAGGGTGGCTGTTGAGTGGCGACAAGCTACACCTACATATGTAGGTACGGCAGGCAAGTATATACATAGGGCCTTGGGCTTCACAAGCTTCGGAAAGAACAAGGATGTTTCAGTGGTATGCCTCATGTTTTTGTGGTGGCAAGTGGCACGCTTCAACAATCAGATATGTTCATTATTTCTGCCTTTTCTCCGAGTATGCTTATTATAAATCTAGTAATATATCGAACCTGAACGCGGCCGGTTTTTCACCTGCGGAGCCACTGAGGGCGGCAGTACCGTTGTACCAGCTACGGCCGCTAGATGGTAGGGCTGTCAACGCCTGAATGCATACTGTGCCGCACAACTCACTGCTACGTAGGCGACGCGACGGTAGATTTATTGCGGGTCCCGTGAATTGATTATCGATAGATTAGTCACCTGTCCGTGCTTCTATCCTCAGGATACTGAAATCCTTCTCCTCCACGCCACAGCCCCCTTCCGGGCTGGGCAGGCAACTTTATCTCATGCGGGCTGCTCCCTTGGAGCGGCACCGCTGCTCCCGAGGGAGCGCACCCCGTAGCCGGGTGCAGTGAGTGCCTTGGGCTGGGTGGCCTGTCCTCTGGACGGGCTCAGCCCCGGCGACTCACTAGGGTGCCTGCCCAGACCAATGTCTCCCCCTAATTTCTATCATCCTTCCGGCTCTGCAATGGTCTTGTCGACCGAAAGGGCCTAACCCAACAAAACAAACAAACAAACGATAGATTAGATTTAGAGGCAGATCCAGCTCAGAGTTTTTTTTTTGGGGGGGGGGCAAACCATAACAATTTATCGATTCTTTCCATGCATCGTCCATAGGCGTAATGTTAAAGTTATGCCGTTTGGGGGGCAAATACCCATTTTGCCCCCCCCCCCCCCCTGGATCCGCCACTGATTAGACTTGGACTTGAGTTCGGTGCATAGGTGCAGTACATTAAAATGAATTCAACCGTAAAAAAATCTGAACAAACCTCTTAGTCATTCACGACACAGAAGTGTGTACTGTATATAGATAGGTATACCAGGAACATTGTGTCTTTTCAAAAGAAATGTTAGTCACAATTACTCTGTTGTGTGCTTTATATTCGTTTCATAATGCACTTCATAATGTTTTCATAATGTTTGTTGAATTATTCAGCTAACGTATGAGGAGTGAAATTGAACCACCTACTAAGATGATAATAATCTTTTTTACAGTGCAGTTGTAATCACGTGGAAAGACACGATTTTGCTACACACATAACCATTATGTGTGTGATACCGAATTCGTGATACCGAATTCGTAAAGAGTTCGGTATCACGTCAGGGTCTGTGTCACGGTGTTGCAGTGTTTAGTATGGCAGTTATATATCCCGAGTATGACCGGTGGCACACTGTTTACCGGTCAGTATCAGTGATATTATGATACTGTATATCATATACAAGTGCTTGTTGTGTCCCGCTGCCGCAGGTGTAAGGTGAATCAGCAGTCGGTGGCCCTGAAAAAGGTACAAATCTTCGAGATGACGGATGCCAAGGCCCGGCTCGACTGCATGAAGGAAATCAACTTGTTGCAGGTAAAGTTAATTTCGATATCGCCTATACATGCAACATTATTCTAGCCTAGGGACAAACATCACATTGATACTTATCTTGGATGATATCAACAATATATTTGATGGATTTTACATAAAAATCGTTCTTATTTCTCTCTCTCTCTCTCTCTCTCTCTCTCTCCTCCTCTCTCTCTCTCTCTCTCTCTCTCTCTCTCTCTCTCTCTCTCTCCTCTCTCTCTCTCTCTCTCTCTCTCTCTCTCTCTCTCTCTCTCTCTCTCTCTCTCTCTCTCTCTCTCTCTCTCTCTCTCTCTCTCTCTCTCTCTCTCTCTCTCTCTCTCTCTCTCCTCTCTCCTCTCTCTCTCTCTCTCTCTCTCTCTCTCTCTCTCTCTCTCTCTCTCTCTCTCTCTCTCTCTCTCCTCTCTCTCTCTCTCTCTCTCTCTCTCCTCTCTCTCTCTCTCTCTCTCTCTCTCTCTCTCTCTCTCTCTCTCTCTCTCTCTCTCTCTCTCTCTCTCTCTCTCTCTCTCTCTCTCTCTCTCTCTCTCTCTCTCTCTCTCTCTCTCTCTCTCTCTCTCTCTCTCTCTCTCTCTCTCCTCTCTCTCTCTCCTCTCTCTATCTCTCTCTCTCTCTCTCTCTCTCTCTCTCTCTCTCTCTCTCTCTCTCTCTCTCTCTCTCTCTCTCTCTCTCTCTCTCTCTCTCTCTCTCTCTCTCTCTCTCTCTCTCTCTCTCTCTCTCTCTCTCTCTCTCTCTCTCTCTCTCTCTCTCCTCTCTCACTCTCTCTCTCTCTCTCTCTCTCTCTCTCTCTCTCTCTCTCTCTCTCTCCTCTCTCTCTCTCTCTCTCTCTCTCTCTCTCTCTCTCTCTCTTTCTCGTTACCTACTTCACTCTTTGGAAAAGTCCTTCATGATAATACCTACCCGCACAGAGTAATGCAGGAGCAGGTCAGTATATAGCTTATGTCGTTGAATGCTACATACTACAGCATTCCAATGCATGAGGCATGTTGCAATCTGGAGTGCATGAATATAGGCACACAGGCGCATAAGCGCAGGTCATTTGTGCATATGTGACGAACTCGTGCCTTATATTGCAAAAGGGTTCTTCGAATCACTTCAACGATTAGACTATGAAAAGGCCTCTATCCTGAAAATGGCCGTCGCCATCATCCGTTTGCAGTGATCGATCTCCACCAATCAGCGGCCCGCGTCTGTCGGTTTGTTTGCAGCAACTGAACCACCCGAACATCATCAAGTACCTGGCGTCGTTCATCGAGGACAACGAGCTGAACATCGTGCTGGAGGTGGCCGACGCCGGCGACCTGCACCGCATGATCCGCCACTTCCGCACCCAGAAGCGGCTCATCCCGGAGCGCACCATCTGGAAGTACTTTACGCAGGTGTGCAGTGCCCTGCAGCATATGCACAGCAAGCGCATCATGCACAGAGGTGAGCTAATAGGATGCGTTACGGACGTGCAGATTCTTTACGACCCTAGAAAATGTGCTTTCTATTTATATAGACGGATAAAAGTAGGTACTTCTCACCATTTGACTGAAATGCATTGCATATAATATTTAAAGTTCATGCATTGCTGACTTCCGTATGAATATGCAGCTCTAATAGTAAATGGTTTAAGCCAGTAATTAGCTCGAACCCAATGATTGACTTATTGCGGAAAGTCGCAACGCCTAGCGAAAATCCTCGCGACAGCTCAGCTAAATTACCTACGCAATATCGTAGTGACGTATCCGTTCCGTACCCTATGAACTGCCAGCGACCGTGAAATGTGTCTGAGCGAAACCCTAATACCGCTGAGTGGTCGAGCTTATCGATTGCTCAGCTTGATGGGTGACCTCTGTAATCAACAGAGCAACCAATTCGTGCCCCAATCTAGGTAATCGACAAAGCTTTGAGCTTGGTCAAGGTAGTATACATTAGCTCGCATACCACGTATGCCGCATAGCTAATAGCTACACAAGCATATGGCAAGATGAAGAATGGGTCACAGGCTAATCAGTAGGTAATTGCACCTAGGTAGATGCATCGTCAAAATGGACGCACACGTGTGCAGACTAGTGTCGTGAGTCGACATGCGTTATAGGTAATAGGTATACATTTACGGCTTTCGGTCTAGTCTATGAGAGCACACGTTTGCACATAGCGCACCGTTTGCCTCGCCCCATTTCTACGGCTCCGGTCTCGTTCCAGATATCAAGCCGGCGAATGTGTTCGTCACCGGTGAAGGCGTGGTGAAGCTTGGCGACCTGGGACTGGGCCGCTACTTCAGGTAGGTCACCGGTCAAAGTAATCAACCCTGCCATTGGAGGGAGGGCTTCTGTATTGAATCAAAGAGAACGCAAGAAAAGCGCAATATGGATAAATATTGGATATTTAATAAAGCCATTTATTTGCCGAAGTAGGTTGAGTCGTGACTCGTGACTATTGGCTATTCCTTTGAGAATTTATCATTGCTTTCAGTTGGCCATCAGTGAAGGAATTAAAGCCATTAGAAGAGATATATTTGGCCCGAAGGCTCACAGCTGCGCCTGTGCGCGATGCAAAGGTCGGCTTTCGCGCCTCTTTCACGACTGTACGTTCAAATAACGCGCGCCGCCGTAACACGTGCCGTGTTACCTGGCATTCCGTTGGGGGGGGGGGGGGGACAGCTTGCATCCAGCACAGGGTCTCTTACAAATAACGAACGGATATATGAAACAAGTAACAACCAATGTAGGTATGGCTATGTAGTAGCAGTCGAAAAAAAACGTCAGCCTGTCAGTTACATATACCCGTCTATTCTATCATCTATGTCCGTTCTATGCGCACATCGACGCTTCCGGGCCTACCTACAAGTCACTTTCCGATCAACCATGGCAGCCTTATTTTTACCGGACAGACAATTATGTATCGCTATAGCGAGGCAGTTCTGCCTCCCACGCAGCCCAGCTGAAAGGGAGGCTGGTGCCTGGTTGCGTCGCACTGCAGGCCGTGGGTATCCATGAGAACCGAATATGGCAGCCGAGTCGATCAATGATGACATCACTGGGCTGCCATGTAATGATACCGTCCCTCGGTTGCCACCACGTTACGGTGTGCGTGCGAAGGAACGACTAGCGTCGGGAGCGTTGCGTGTTAAAGGCCACCAACATCAGCCCAAGGCGCCGTTTTGGGATAGGGACATCCCCTACGGCGTTTTCAGGCACACTGTTCTATGATTTGTTGGCTATGCCCGGAAACTAAACCAGGTCAACGATCGAGTGACCCGCAGTCGGTATTTTTTGTTCTATTTCAGGACAGGTTTTAGGACTCAGTCACTAAAACGTTCAGTTTGAACGTCTTTTCTTTGACTTCATAGAACGGTTTCCCTGCTGCAAATCCCTTTGTAATGCGCATTTCCTTTGCTGGCGTTCTCGAGATACATCGTGTCAACAATGTCACTGAACTATGAATGTTTGCATACATCTGTTGGGCCTGGTCTCCCATGTTTACTGAGCTGGGATCTCAAGCCATAACATTAGCGAACCCATCGCTCTTCATTCAGACGTTACCGTCTTCAAACCCATGCAGTCACGCAGGCTAGTTTATACGAGCTGAGTGTCCAGCATGGATTATCCATAAAACCTGAATAAGCCCAATCACGGAAATGACTGCATGTCAAACCATGAGCGCCGATTCCTACTCTGATAACTGTTCGCCCCTGGCCCCCTTCCCTGGACCATACCAACCGTTCGCACCCTCCCACCGTCCCCTGACCACCGTTCGCCGCTGCCCTGCGCCTCAGCACGCCGTCTCCTGTCCCTGCCCTCCCTGACCACCACTGACCGCTGCTCTGCGCCCCTCAGCACGTGCACCACGGAGCTGATCACGCTGGTGGGCACGCCCTACTACATGTCACCGGAGCGGATCCACGAGCGCGGCTACAACTTCAAGTCGGATATCTGGTCACTGGGCTGTCTGCTGTACGAGATGGCCGCGCTGCAGTCGCCCTTCTTCGGCGAGAAGATGACGCTCTACTCGCTGTGCAAGAAGATCGAGAGCTGCGACTACCCGCCGCTGCCCTCCGATCACTACTCGGACGTGGTGCGTACGGGGAGGGGGCTGACCCCGGGGTTCAGAGACTACAGGGAACGAGAGGAGGAGGCGTGGCAGGACTGTCTGTGACCCGGGCTCAGCAATTGCAGGGAAGAGAAGTCGGCACAAGGGCTCCCCGGACTCCGGGATCAACGGGAGGGATGACTGAGGAAAGGGCGAGGATGAGACGTCACTGCGGCTGCCTAAGGGTGGTTATCTGTATGCCTGTCACCTTTAGTACCTATTCTTTGTAGTGTGTCTGACCGGTGCGGTGTGCTGTTTCGCAGTTCCGGAGTCTGGTGGACCAGTGTCTGACGCCCGACCCCAGCGGTCGACCCGACATCGGCCACGTCACCCGACTGGCAGCCGAGATGCACGAGAAGTCGTCGGCGCCCGGCAGCGCCGTCAGCACGACCAGCTACGCCAGCCGCATCTCCAGCGACGGCTTCATCAAGCCGCAGTAGCGGCGCTGAGCGGGCGGGCTAGTCACCGTCCTCCGTCCGGGCCGCGCCGTCCGATATTTGGTCCGTACACGGCCCGTACTTGGTCCGTACTAGGCCGATACTCGCTCCGTATTCGGTCCTACTCGGTCCGTACTCGGCCGATAATCGCTCCGTCCAACCAATCCGTCCAATTCGCTCTAACTGTGACGGCTGAGTGGTTCCCGCCGTTCCAGTCCGATCTATAGAGCGAATACTTTGGACGGCCCAGTCTGTGCCGGTGCAGAGGCCAGTGATGTCACGCTTACAATCCGTCCGTGTGAGCTGTGCAGTCGGCGGCACCGCGCAGGGGCCTCTGTCGCGGCCGGTCGCCCCAGAGGTCACGGAGCACCGGTTGTCGGAGCGTGCCACCCTGTGACCGTGCCGCTCGCCCGAGAGCAGGGCGGGGTTCATGAGTCGGTGTTCTTCGTGCAGCCAACTCTGCACAGCTCTCGGTCGATCTGTGTATGCGTTCGGCGGTGCCAGCACTGTGCGATTATTGGTTACCGAACGGCGGTACGAGCACTTATTGTTGGCGCATGATCAGTTATTTACATTTTGCTGCACGTTGGGAAACGTAAATATGCAAAAATATGCAACATATGAATAATAAACGGGAGCTGTTCAACGCGCTTTCTGCTGAAATGCGTTAGCAACGAAGCTGTCAATGAATGCAGACGAACTAACGCATCTGATGTCATATTCACTAGAGATGCACTTCTCCCTAAATGTCAAATTTAGATTTAAAGCCCTCTTCACTTTAGCAACTCAGATTTAATAGCAAAGAATGAAGACACAAACTACTCGCCGTTTCATTCAAAACAGGAATAATGGGATTCTACAAGTCAACCGGTCATCCACCATTTACCACTTACCACCACTCTCCAATAAAGCATATTGTGGAAGCACACTCACGTGCGCTGGCATTTATTGCAAAACCTCCAAGTACTTACAACGTACGTGGCACCTGGATCACAAACTTTCGAGGTACGCGGCACGACAATCACAATGTGCGGTGGCTCGGTAGGGGCCGGAGTGCCGGCGCCGGTCCGCGCCCCGCTGCCGGCGGCGGACGCAGCTCTGCCGCTCACGGACACACACCGCTGGTCCACACAGGCTGGACGGCGCCACCAGCGTCAGAATTACGGCAGGCACCCGCGCGGCCGCCTCGGTGAAAAATAGTGCCATTCGGATGAGTGGTTCATCACATTGAGCAGCGATGGGCAATCGTCGAGAAATGCGTACAGAAAGACCACGCCGAGTCCCCACACGCTATGCGACACAACCGAGCCTCACCAGCACACACCCTATACAAACGCGCGCAGCACAAGTACAAACTGCACATACGATCCGCTAGCGTTGATCACAGCAGACTCCCCCTCCCTCCCACCCCGTAGCGCGCGCGGCGGACCCCGCGTCGTCCACCGACTGTGCTCTACCCGCGCGTGTTGAATCACCCCGCGACGAACCTCGCCGGCGCCGCAGCTCGTCCGTCCAGGGGCCGCCGGCGGGCGGCGACACCGCGCCGACGGCCGTAAAGCTCCCTGGGGCCACCGGCGGCGCGGGGACGGCTCTGGGGCGCGTGTCGGGTGTAACGGGCCGTGCTGAGATCGCGGGACCCGCGGCGGCCGGCCAGAGTGATATGTGGTGGTCGGTGGGTCCCGAGCGTGGCCGGCCGGCCGGGCACACCGTCAGCCGCGGCCCGTGTCGGGCCGGTCGTCGGCCAGAGGTCGGCCTCATCACGAGTAATCGTCGTCTTCGTCGCTCGAGTGGACCATGGCCGAGCGCATCGCCGCGTGCATCTCCGCGTCGGTCTGCAACTGCAACACAGAGACACGACCCGCCGGTGATGCTGCCCGACTTAGACAGCCTTAGCTTCTACCAAACAACGGACATTTGGCGAGCTTGAAATTCGTATACCAATACAATCATGCTGATTTTTCTGGTGCGTGAAAGTTTTTTAAACGACTAAAAACAACTATTGTCAGCATAAAACAACAGTGACAAATCCTAATTAGGCACTTTATGACTTAAAACGACAATCAGAAAACTAATGCCGCATCAAATGAGTTACTGTAAGCATAATATTCACTGAAAAAACGACTCAGTCAGTTTTAGTCGAACAGCGGATTCACCCACAGAAAGCCCACAACTACATCTGTTTGCGCAAACACGGAAATCGGTCAGCAGTGGACGCCGTTACGGTGTCCGGCAGCGTTCGTGACGGGGCGCGGAGCTTTCCGCTCGGCGAACGCGGCATTGGCGGCCATAAAAAGGCTGCTGAGCGGTCGAACACGAAACACGCCACTGCACTGTGGTGGGGGAGGTCAAGGAAACCGAATACTAATCTGGGGCGCGATCCATAGCAAATTGTGACCGGCTTACACCGCAATTACACCGATAAAAACTCACTGCAGATCCGGGAACTAAAAAAAAAATATGTCCGTAGGGATAACGGGAATATTTTGACTTCTAGAAGAGCACAAAAGCAGTCAGCAGATATATAGCTGTCCGGATACAGCGTTGTGGTCCACGTCGCGATAGACTACTGTAAATATGGAGTAGTCTATGACGTCGCATATGAAAATGGTAAATGCGAGCGCGACTGTTGTCTCAGTTTCTGCCATCATTTCTGCCGGCAACCGTAGACGGTGACGCCGCTCCTAACTGGGACAGCAGTAGCGGCACCATCGGTAATTCAGCAGCGTTACCCAGCCCCGGCAGGTCCCGCACATACCTGTTACATTAGGCATGGCCACCAGCCACCAGTAATCCAAAAAAGCGCAGCATTACTCGTTACACGGGCAGTCAGCCGCGCACGGCATTGTAAAAACAATACCGACGGCGTCTTCAATTAACCGCCGCAATAAGGCACCACCATTCGGGAGCCCCCTCGCCTCAGTATCGATCAGGCAGGTACCGGCAGCCCCCCCCCCAGGACCGCCCCCGCCCGACGACCCGCGGCACCATCACGTGTCGTAACGGGTCCCCCCGATGGCGTCACTAGGCGCCGCCCACCGCCGCGACGAGCCGACCATCGACCGGGCCGTGGACCACGGTCACAGCACACACAGGACGGGAGCGGACGGAAAGATACGGCACTGACGCCTGACGGGCAGGACGGCCATGGCAAAAGGTGTAGCTGCGATCAGGACTGACTGACGTCGTGCGTACACACTACACAGTCACGATGGCAAAAGGTGTGCTGTAGCCAGGACTGACAGACGTCGTGCGTACACACTACACAGTAGGGTGCATCAAACGCCCCACTTTTTCGAAAAATTTACGCGAACCCCCTGTCACCAAAATTTATTTGTTACGCATCCTAAATGTATCCTCCATGCCAAATTTCAAGAATTTCTGAGGCCATCTAGAGGGTCCGCATCGACCCTGAAGTTAACGAAATTTCATGAATTTAACCATTAATGGGGCTTACTTACAAATTATTTAAAATTAGTCTTAGGCCAAAATATCTTTTGGTATTGCTAATCATTGCAAGTGCTATCCTAAAACTGTCCACCTAATAAACCTGAAATGTATCTGACTTCACCTGGGAGTCTTAACCTCGCCCGTATTGGTGTTTTGTCTGCGTCTAACGTACAGGGGAGGGGGTCCGTTGGACCCCCTTGCTGTTCGGTCTCTGTTCAAGCTACAGCTTCACGGGAAAAAACTAGCGTGTCTCCCGTAACGAGAAGAAGCCGATGATATCCAATTTTAAGGTCCTAGGTCATTGGTTGACCTTCCAGGTCAGGTCAATGACCCAAAAGTCGGGAAAATCGGGACCTATCCATAGTAGATGTCAGCCACCACCGACAGCTTCGAAACATGTTACGAATGCACCAAAAATATTTTGTAATTGTTCAACGCTCAAACGCTTAAATGTTCACGCTTACGAGATGAGTAGACGATGCTCCTATCATCAGACGAGCTTATCGCTACTGCTGACGTCAGTGCGCCTGCTCTTTGAAGGGCCTGCGCTCTCTCCCGTCTTTCTGGGCCATGTGTCCAGTTCAAGTGTCTGGTGCAACAACTATGTACAATAGTGCCGACCAATCGGCGTTGCATCCACTCGTCGACGCACGGGAAACGGTCTTTCACAAGGAGATAAACTATCCGAAAGTAGCAACTGGCATGTCTCGGATATTCCATTCCGGTCACCTGAGATTATGTCGTTCACGTGGTCTTGACCTATTGTTTTGGGTCAATGGGAGAAATATGGAAACCGAGTCAGAATGATCATCGCCAGTCACACCCCGGCAAGACCGCACCCAAGCCCCGGCAGCATTCAATAGCGCAAGTGGTGGCAATAAAACAAAGATATCAAGTTTGGACGTCGCTACTGAAACCGCAAGGTCGTTGACAACGTCGCATACACCTGTCTGTGAAGGATGAAAGTCCTGTGACGACAAAAAAGACTTGAAAACTTGACTTGTGAGAAAGACTTGTGACGCTCCACATGGACTTAATCCATCCCGAGGTCGACGAACAATTAGCGACGGAAGAGCGTCTCATTCTAGTTGTCGTCGAGGACGTGCTCATCAAACTATATAAGAATTGCTCACGAATTGCTTACAAAATACGAGTCACTCTAAACCGATAATATCGGTGTTAACATTTGCTTCAACATGAGTTCGTCTAAAACCGGCATTGTCAGGGCTGCATGCGTGACAAACTAACTCCATTTCGTTTTGACGCTGCCATGGTCGACTAGGAATTTTGGGTTTTATATCGGCGAGATCATTATGGTGTAAGTCTTCTGCGAGCCCAGAATCGAAGTGTCAAAGTCATGTCGTAGTGAATCACAAAACCATAAAATATGCAAGAACCGCTCTAAACCCAACGAATTCGGTTAAATCATTGAAGCTTAACGAAGCGATTTGTCCCAGTCTTCCTTCCGAGCAAAAGTCCTACTTTTTAATGTGTATCAGTGTGCCAGGCTGAAACTATCTATAGTTATTATTTCGTGCTTAATTTGGTTAGGGGTTATTGAGGAAAACTCGCGATCGATGATCTCAAATACTCTTAGTGATGTCAAACGACGCCATAAGGTCCAAGTTCAATACAGACCAGGCATCAATTCACGGAAGCGGGGCACAAAAATAGGATTTCAAGTCCTGAAACAAATTTGGATCATATTTGGCGCTAACTGAGCAGTTCCTGTATCTACCCACGGAGCTTTAACGGAGGGGTCACGTGATCGACCTGACCTCAGGCGACCTTTACGAAAAAAGAAAATCCGAGGTAAAAATTTGTAAGAATTTAAAAGCTTGTAACTTCCTGAAAGTTCCATCTCCCTGCGAAAGATTCCCCGACTCAAGAGCGCCGCGAAGTTATACAACATTTTTAGACTATTGAGAGGTTCATGTATGACGTCATAGGTCACTGACCTGACCTGATGTCAAAATGCAGCAGATAAAGAATGTTCAGGCTTAAGTATCAAAGGTCAGCTAAGTCAAATTAAAGTTCCCTAATCCGACGTGTTTCGACCCATCGCGACAAAAACAGCAGTGGTCGTATAAACCCCCTCCATCGGGGGAGGTTAAGTGATGAAGCATGTTCATAGCTGATGCGGACCCCCTAGATGACATCCGATGTAATTTTAATTTTGCACAGCGTCATTGTGCTACTAGTGGAACAAATTGAATCAACAGACAGATCGATTTGAAGACATCGGGGCGTTTGATGCACCCTACTACACAGTCACGATGGCAAAAGGTGTAGCTGCGATCAGGACTGACTGACGCCGTGTGTAGACAGTCGGCATAGCAAAAGGTGTATGCCGGTGTAACGACGCACACAGTCTACGTCACCTGGACGAGGAGATCCAGGTGACGTAGAAGGGACAATGAGGGAAATGATGCGTGTTTCTTGGATTAGGAAGGTTCGGAGGAGAGCGTGGTGCTCGGAAACTGGTGCACTGCGCCAGGAATCAGGCCTGGATGCTTGCTGTATGAAATGCCCCGGGTATCCCAAAGCCGTCCCCAGCCCGCGCTACCCATCCATCAGCGTGTACTACCCCTCCCACCATCCCATGCTCCAGCCGTCCCACCATTTTAGCACCGGTCCCACCTGTCCCACCTACTGTCCCAGCAGGATGTCCCACCTGCGCTAACATCTCAGCAGGCTGTCCCACCGACTGTCCATCAGTCCCCTGCAGTGTGACTGACCCACCAATGCCCAGCAGCGTGACTGACCTGCCAGCCCCGCAGTGTGACTGACCTGACTGATCTGCTGCAGGTGCTGCTGGTCGGCCAGCATCTGTTCGTGTCTGGCGCGCGCGAACAGCTCCTGCTGCTGACGGAGCAGCTCCTCCTCGGGTATGCCCAGGTTCTCCAGGCGCGTGCTCTGGCGGCGCCGCTTGGCGGTGATGTCCTTACACTGGCGCGCCACCTCCTCCACCGCCTGGCGGTAGTCGGAGAAGCCGAGCTTGTCCAGTCCTGGCGACAGGGGGCACTGGCGGCGTCAGACGGGCCCGGCCAGCCGGCCGACCGGCGACACTGCCAGCCGCCCAGAGCGGTGACAACCAAGCAAAGCTATCTACCATACCCAGGGATAGTCAGGACATCCAAGGATTACAATTTGCCATGACCAGCCTGGATTATGGATAATATAAAATGTCCCACGGAGCCGGTACAATGTTTCGTATTCCGGGTACGTAGGAGCATAGATGCGTGAAAAAAAAACACAAGTCTACGAAGCATCTAGCCACCGCTTCGTCGTTTCCATCCTCAGGATACTGAAATCCTTCTCCTCCCCTCCCCAACCCCACTCCGGGCTGGACAGGCACCTTTATCTCATGCTGGCTTCTCCTTCGGAGCGGCACCGCTGCTCCCGAGGGAGTCTCTGCACCCGGCTACGCACCCCGTAGCCGGGTGCAGAGAGTGCTTGGGAGCTGGTCGGCCTGTCCATTCGGACGGGCTCAGCCTCGGCCACTCTCTAGGGTGCCTGCCCAGACCAATGTCTCCCCCTATTTCCTATCATCCTTCATGCTCTGAAATGGTCTAATTGGACCGAAAGGGTCTAACCCAACAAAACAAACTTGCTAACGTGACAAAAAATGGGGACCAACTTTTTCAAAGATTGAACTTAAAGATTTCCCTGTTAGCCCAGCTCTTAAAAACGACCTTTCTGCTAAAGCCAAACCATTCAAATTCTTGTGACACCGCCAATTGTTAGAACTTAGGTCCCTGTGTCCATCTGTCGCAACACTCTCAGCACCTCTCACAAGCTACCCGTTAGTTCCTCCCATCCCTCAAATCAATCATCAGGCGAACACCTTTCCTCAACACCTCACACTCCCTGCTCCAGTCCGGACGGTGACCTTTATCCGATGTACGCAGCCCCCCCCCCCCCCCCCCCAGGCGCAGACTCACGTGCAGTGGGATGGCCGTTAGCGGGCCAAGGTGGTTTGCCCCGTGACGGCCTCATCCCCGGGGGTGCACCACGGTGGCCGCCCAGACCAATGTCCCCCAAGCCAAACTACCCCAAAAACAAACCGATCTATTCAACCCAAATTTCAGCCCAGTGAAGTGTTTAACCGACCCTGACCACAGCCGACAGCACTGCCCGGTGAGCACGAGCGGGAGAGAGCATCACAGTGGGCAGCACTGACCGGTGAGCACGAGCGGGAGAGAGCACCACAGCGGAGAGCGGAGAGCACTGACCGGTGAGCACGTGGTCCGGGTTGATGGTGCGCCGGTTCTGCTCGTTGCAGACGGCGTTGGCCTCGGAGGAGACCAGCAGGATGAACTCCTTGCAGCAGTTGAGGATCAGCTCGCGCGACTCGTTGGCCACGCGGATGCGCGGCAGAACCTCCTTGATCATCTTGTTCATGGAGGCGCGCGGGATGGAGAGCTCGTCCTCGGACGGATCGTTGGTGGCCATCTTGCACAGGGTACTGCAGCAAACAGGATGGTGTCACACATGTTTTGATCTCAGAGGAGTGCTGTCATGCTCCATTGCAGAGCCACCAGCCTTGTCTGATTGGCAAAAATGATCAAATGAGATGAGATGAGCTGCTTGTAGAATAGGAAATTAAATGCATTACTTATCCACCCTTTGTCCCTTTGTATTAGATCACACCATGCAACACGTAAATAATACTAATTCTTCGAGAATCAGTGATACTATCACTGTCTCACTCTCAACAGAACCACTGATATGAGCATGGTAAGAACAAAATATTCCAGGAAATGCCCTAACTACATAATAATCATGTGTATAAGCAACAGATATTTCTGCCATTAAATATCTCAACATGTTAAGACTACCTTACTGCTCAATATGCCACCAAATTGTCACTGTCTGCAGAGAATGACTACAATAGGCACAGAGTAGCATTGGCTAATGCAGTGTCCGGCAGCACTACCCATGACACTGGCAGCATGGGTTAACAAGGTGATTGTGGTCCTTGTTATACCTACCCATATAAATATCAACATCTACAAATGGAGCTGCCAAACGGCACACACCTAAGTGCTACTTATTACTATCACATTATTATTATCACATACATGACTATGATTGTTTAAGACATTTAGGGTGGAGAAACTTCAAGTGACAATATTCTATTCCTTTAAGTTTTGATGCATGTAATCAAGGCACCTTTTCTCACTTACTTTCTTTGTGGTGTAGGTCTGTGTGCAAATCAAATCTAAAAAGTTTTGGTAGCTTTTGTGTGTAAATCAGACTAACTAATCAAACTAACCAAACTCCAGCCAACTCAGTGTCCCAAATTTGCCAGTTTGGGTGGTAACTGGGAAGGGACATCCAAATCAAAATGATTTTCCCACTCCCACACCCAATTTTCTAGAACAATTTTTCATTCCCCACCAATAAAGAGCATCTGCATGAAACTTTTACCTACCTCCATATTCGATTCAATAATCGCATAGGTAAAGCAGCTCCCACATCCTACAAAATTCACAAATAAAATTGTTGATCTCTGTTTTCGCTCTTTTTGTGCCTTTCTGACTGGCAATTTTACACTCTCAGCCCTTTTTGTAGTGACAAATATTCCCCTCTGACACCCAAACCAAAATATAATTTTGGGACACTGAAAATAACTAACCAAACTCCAAAGAGGCTGAAGCCAGTCACAGACTCATACCAGTCTTCAGCATTAACCAGCCAACAAGAAGCCAAAGCAAAGTCCCCAAGCCAAAGCCACACCAGCAAAGGTACCTAGTGAAGCTGCATCAGCCCACACCAACTGGGGTGGAAATCCACACCAAGCCACAGTAACTAAGACCACAAGTTTGAAGGAGAAAATTTAGCCCAGCCTAAAAAATCAAAGAATTATGAAATGGCCAGTCCCAGTATGTCTCCTGTTCAGTAACTAAGGGCTAAAATTTTTACCATAAAATTTTGAAACCCAGCCTTTTGGCTAGATAAAGAAATGCACACTGCTACCAGCACTGCACACTGCTACCAGTGCTACCAGCAATGGATTTCCTGGTACTGCATAGCCTAGAGAATAAATGCCAGCATGGGGTTATCCAGAGCTCTGTTCGCCCCCCCCCCCCCCTATTTATCAGCAGGCTGCAAGCATGCTGCTACTTCTTGACTCCTCATTGCCTATTGGTCAAATTCAAGTGGTTCATTCGTTAGACCAATGAGAGGCAAAGAAGCGCCAGCAATAAATACCTTATATGGGGAAAACTGACAGCACGCTGATATAAAAACAGTGACTGAACATAGCTCAGGTTTAGGCTCTAGCTCATCTAGCCCCAATGGATGAGAGGCTCATTGCCTTTCCATGGTGCAAGTTGCAACTGAGTTGGAAGTTCCCAAGATGTACAATGCAGCTTTCAACCATTCAAACCAGCCTAGTCCACAGAATTATTAAATGTATGCATATAGGTGAAAGACATCAGTAGGCGGAACTATGGTCAAGCGTACCCATTTTCGGGAACGCATTTTCGTTCCCATGTTTGGGAACGATAGACCCAAATATGGGAACGCCATGTAGGCATTATTTAAAACAAGAAAAAGAACCGTTAAATGACGTCAAAAAAATATAAAACGATCGTGAACCGCCTGATAGTTGTCTCAATATTGTTGGGAAAGAGTTTGATATTGTAAGGCCCATCGTAGTTTCAAATCGTTCCCCTATTTCTAAAGCAGTCCATCACCCGGGCCGCGAGCCCAAATTTGGGAACGCTCTCGTACACTGGCGCTGCAAGCGTTCCTTATTATGGGAACGGCGTACCCAAAATTGGGAACGATTTCACCGACGCCTTTCAGGGGCTCTTTTCATTAACAAGCATCACGTCCAACGCCGCAAATTATTATTAACGCAACAATAATCAGATGACCTTTCCGGCAAGACCGTTGCATGTTTCGCCCGGTCTTCTGCGCTTTTATTCCCGTCGATCTCGCAGCGGGCACGCCCCCCTCTGCAGGATTACGTAATCCACAACGCTCAGCAATGTTCAACAAGGTCTTCCATACCTATATCCACCGTCCGCGCCGAGGGTGGAGACATGTCAAGCACCTGTCTGCTAATCACCGAGAGTTGACGAGCACAAGAAGTATCCAAAAATGGGAAAGCTGAATATGTTACACCCTCAAAACACCTAGTCCCAATGAAAATCTAGTTTTTTCCTTTCTTAATGAGTGTAAGTGGCAAAAGGCCTGGTAGGATGGGCACGAGGAATGATCGAAATCAGCATAAAAATTATAAATAAGCCACACAGAGCGACCTATATCAGAGAAATTCCCACCAAACGATCATGCTTAGAAACGCCGAAGACAAAAACCACGCTCATGACGCTGCTTATAAAACAACGCTAAACAGCTAGCATCCAAATAAAATATGTCTTTCAGGGCTGATAAAATACAGCTGAATGATTTTAAACCACTGAAACTGAGTTTACAACAGTAGTTCGGTAAAATCACTGACGTTCCACGCGGTCGATCGCCCCGACACCAAAAGTCAACAATATTACCTCGGGACTGTCCGCGTGTTCGCTTGCATATGTCAGCATCTGGTGTCGCTAGAATGAAACTTCATAACCAGGCGAAAATTATTATACTTGACCTCAAAATGTAAAAAATGCTTCATTTTCCTTAAAATTGCATGTTAAATGTCGTATAACCCATATTCCCACCATTCTGTCATTTTTAAAAAATCATTAAAAATATCATTCCACGGTCAATTTCCTTGTTCCACGGTCAGATTAAAGATAACTTTATGGAAATTTCGTAGATACTTAAATCAGCGTGCACTTTTTTGAGACGTGATGCACTTTTGAGTTTTAGTGGGCGAACGGCCGAAAAATTGCCTTCCGTTCTCATAAATGGGAACGCCCGTTCCCATATTTGGGAACTCCGTTCCCAAAAATGGGAACGTTCCTATATTTGGGTACTCATGACCATAGTTCCGCCTACTGACATTGTCCTAATGTAAAGATCACAAACACTTAACATCATGCCATTGAATATTATCATGTCTGTGTAACTTGTAAGCACATCAGTAACTTAACTTGTAACTTGTCGCTACCTAGCTCAATTTGATTGGGAGTTATTGGCAAAACGACTCTCGTGTCGTGACCCTAGTGACGTAATAAATTACGCCATGTAAGGTAACTGGTAACTGGTAAGCAATGCAAAAATGAAGCATTGGGCCACGGGCCTTGCAAGGAGTGAATGAAATCCTGATTACGTGTGTTTGATATAGTTTTCGATCATTCCTGGGCCCCGGCACCAAAATAGCAGATAAAATAATTGAAAATTAATACAGCTGTTCACATTTCTATTGATTTTCCGCAAATTTATATGGAATACTGAAATACTACAAAGCTTACTTAAACCAGATTTTCAATGCAAATGTTACTTTCCTTCTGGTCCAATAAATGATACCTAAAACAAATGCAAAATACAATACAAATAGATTAAGTATATGCTGAATCTGAATAAGAACTTGTCCTACAATGGCAAAGCAATTCACCTCTTTTCAAAATTTTGGACACTATAAACAGTATTCACTCCTTTTCTTCACAAAATCTGACCTGTTTCAATACAAATCAATATCAATAAATGTTTATTACTACCCAGGGGGGTACGCTCCGGCTGTTTAACATTACGAAAAGTGGTGACAGACGTTTGTGGAGGATTGTCGACGAACTCTTGTTCCGCGAGCAGCACTCACGCGCTAGCGGAAAATCCACCAATCAGCGCCCGGCAGTGCTCGACGCTGATTGGCCCGACGCTCGTGACGAAATTGCGGGGGACCGCAGTTATTCTCTATGGACTCGAATAGGCTTTTGGATTTCGGAGGGGTTTCTTTAAGATTATATGCTGTTTCGAGCTGTTTTCGAGTTGAAATATATTTCTTATGACTGTTAGCTATATAATGGCACCATAAAATCATGATTTTAATTAATATTACCGATGTAATATCGGCCGAAAAGACATGCTGTCTTGGCACGGACTGCCCTGCAGCTGATGTGGGGCCTCTAGTGCCAGCGTATGGTAATAATGGGCTGACGAAGGGTTATTGGAGACTCTTAGAGACCCACCAGGGCCTCGTTTCATAAAACTCTGCCGTAACTTACACCTTTCCGTAATTCACACCCTTTCAAACTACGGAGCGCAAATAAATCCGTTTCACAAAGCCACAACTGGAATTGTTTACACCTCCGTAACTAAGCACATTTGCGTAGTTACCGTGATTTATCAAGCGTCCTACAAATTAAAATTTCATGTCAACACTTATTTTTTTACGAGAATTTATAAAACAATTATGTTGAATTTAAATCTTAAAAATTATGTATGAAAAAACAAAATTGATATTGATGACCATCCTTTATTAAAACAATATATTAAAAACAGCAGAAAGCCAGCTAAGCAGAAGTGCCTAACTACGAAAGTGGCGCGGCGCGGCGAATAAACAAAATTCCGATAGTGGCCACAAAAAGCGACTGGTACAGAAGATTTGCAGTTTCTTTTTCTCATTTTGGCTGTTCTTTCTTCCTCACCGTGCTCAACATTATAAAATATATTAAAAATTAGCTTCGAATCTTCACATTAATTCAAAATCACGCAACATTTTTGTGCGTAGTTTACACCACTGATATCAAGAGCTTGATAAAATATTTGGCGTTAATTACGTCGTTTTATGAAACCCAACTGGCATCAATTGGTCCGGAATCGAGCATTTGCCGTAAATGAAGCTCCGTACTTTCGATGGCGTGAATTACTCCGGTCTCAGGCTTTATGAAACCGAATTGGCATCAACTACGCCAAATCTGGCATAATTGACGGAACGCCGTAAGTAATTCCTTTTATGAAACGAGGCCCAGGATTCAGTATAGGGTCATCAGAGGCCGGGAACATCCATCAGGGGTCTGAGTAGGCCTGCCATAGGGGCATGCATGACACATCATGGAACATGGGTCAATCTAGATCCATTAGGGGCTGTTGAAGTGCCATCATTGTTCAGCGTGGGCCCGCAATCACCTCTGATGGGCATATGCCGTGCCCCGATGGACTAACGCTGGCCCCCGATAAACCATCACCAGCCCCTGATAGGTCTACAAAGCCCCCTGCTGGGTCTAAATTGGTCACTGATATGCCCTAATGGGCCACTGAGAAACCCGTACAACATCCCCTGACTGCACCTGATGGACCAATGCCGTCCCCTCATGGGCCCACCAGGCACCACGGCTCTTGAATGGCCTCTTCAAGTCCCTGAAGCGCCTTTATTGGCCTAAATGGACCCCTGATTGGCTTATGTGGTCCCTAATGGTCCTATATGGCCCCATGAGCCCTCAACGTCCCTAGACAGCCTTACATTATATGCCACCGGTCCCTGGTAGGCCTGCACTGGACCCAATAGGCCTATACCGACCCATAAAGGGCCCATGTCGAGCCCTCATGGGCCTCCGATGACCACACGCCGGCATGTGTGGCCCCATCAGCAGTGGTCCGTCTATCCCATGTACTTACGGTCTTTTTGGCCGATGTGACACCGGTAGTATATAGAAATATCATGATTAAATGTCGTTATTATATAGTCAAAGGTCACGGAAAGAATATCCAAGCTCAAAAATGGTCTCAAACCCAACAAAAACTGATACAAATCCCCTTCAAAAGTCATAAGTCAATGAAACACCATAGGGGAATAGCTGCAGTCCCCCGCAATTTCGTCACGAGCATCGGGCCAATCAGCGTTGAGTATTGCCGAACGCCGATTGGTCGATTTCCGCTAGCTTGTAAATGCTGCTTGCGGATATAGTCTTGAACAAGTGAGGGTCGCGGCAACTAAATATTGCTTGTCACCACTTTTTCTTCGGGAGCGTTCTACCTGGTTTATATAGCCTTGTTACTACCGTAATCATTGAT